ACGAACTATGCCATACGTTGATGCGTCCGCCGAGCGAATTCCGGAAGCTCTATTGTCCATGGTCATTTCGGTTTATTTTGATATGGAAATGAAATCAACCAAAAATTCTTGAATTGTTTCTGAGGAACGTCTTGTCTAGATCCCGCGTTCTCCTGCAGTCTGATAGAAATGGTTATAACTGTTTCCACTCATCCACCACTCTACTTGTAAATATGTTGGAGGGAAAGGTAAGAAGATACTCAGCGGGGTTGTGCGAGACTACGAGGAACATGGGCTAATCTCCTTAAAAGCATTTGTTCGCAGTACGGGGACTAAAAAGTTTTCTGTCGTCCTTTATCGTTTTCACGCTATCATCACTCTTATCACATCATCTTTAAGACAAATTCTGCACAAATGAATCGGAAGTGTTCAGGCCAAATGAGACCTGTTTCCACATGTGGTGTACGTGTAATGTAGATCCAGAGCAGCTACAATGTGCACCCATGTTCTATTTAGGAGAAAATGGATGATTTACCACGTGATAACACGACCAGAACAATACTTCTGGTAAACGCACGATTACATCCCGATATCTTCAGCATTTTTGGTTTTATATCAGAGATATAGTACTTATCGAGTTGACCGTAGCTGTTGGCTACGGCATCACACTGATGGCCTAATAACGTATATGAAATGTTCCCAGTGTAGGGCGTCCAAAACGTTATTTGCTTACATTTGTTGTTAGGTACTACTCACATTTGTGAGCAGTAGGTAACGTAGTTGGTAATTTATTTCGACGATCAAAAATTAACAAGATCACCGAGGGCAAATTGCCGTATCTCAAAGAATAACTATCAATTGCTTCATTCATTACCCGTTGTGCGGCCAGGAACTGCGATGGTATGTTTCTGACGAGATTTCCGCGTTATGTATGCCAAATTAGTGATGTCCCATCTGTAATCCTCAGTAAACAAGCTTCCTCGACCAGCACCGCCTTCTGTAATTATAACACATTGACCTTCAGATTTCATGTTTTTCAGTTGAATGCGAACGTAGATTTATTACCAAACACATCCACAATTTCATCAAAGGTATGCATTCCTCCTTGTTCAGCAAATGACGTCTCTGTATTTGATTACCTACGTCCAGATGAAGTTCACTAAAATGACTACCTTTTTGTGACAGTACTGTATTCTGCTGCAGAACACATCGGTTCCATGCCCCACAACTAACTATAGCGATAATTGGGGATACGGTTGCACGTAGTGTTCACAGCATCTATCAACCCTTTTATTGGAGGTTGTTATTCTATCCTGTGCTTTTTCAAGTTCTACAGTGCGACCAGTTTTGCTTTACAGTTGTAAGCCTGTCTCTGAAACCCTCAGTATGGTCGGGGGTGGGTGTCTAGGGTTGCGGCTGGCCACTCTTCCCTTGCACCTCTCTAAATGCTCCGAAACGATCAGGCGTCTCAAACAACCTCTGCTGAGGAAGCCCTTCTCACTGTCTTATAGCGGCCGAGGTGTTTTTCCACCAAAGTGATAGGACGAAAAGTCGGGCCGACATACAGGGCTCTAACCGGGTTGGTGAACCATTGACAGTTCACCTTGGGGGAGTTGACTAAAAATCCTGATTCCAAACCAACCAGGAAGAGGAGTGCAAATCACACACACGCCTTCCCGGTTGTGGCAGTGGTCACAGGTTCGATTAGACATCGAGGTGTATTGGACACCTCGGACGTTTGACCCCGTCCGACGGGTGCATGTCCCAACGAACTGGACACCGGCGCCCAATGGACTGCGGACTCTGAGCTCCGTCCTGTTGTCTTGCAGACCTGGCTTTCTAGCCAAAGGTTTCGGGTGGGGACCCCGAGGTTATCCTCCTTCGGTCAACGCAATCGGGAAGTAACATGCCCATACAACCTACGACCACATTCTGCAAACTTTTTGTTCATATATTGTGGCACATTCGCCAGTTCTGTTTAATTGGTTACGTGTTGAAATAAATTAAAATACGGTTGTAAGATGTTGAGTTTGTGTGCAAAATAAATCCATCTATTAGGGGTTTTGAATTTAAGAAAGACAAATTATACACATGATAAAAGAACACACATTTTGTTTTTAAACTAGTTTCAGAGGACGATTACCCTATTGGCCGTTTTATATTTCATGCAACGGGTAATTCTACTTCTTTTAGATCGCGCACTCAAGCAAACCTGTTTTATCCGAGTTCAGAAACGCATTTATTCTATATGGGCTTCAGGTTGTTTGGCTCCGTCATCTCGGTTGTTGTTTCACTCGCTCTCGAAACAGCTGTTTCCCCGTTTCCCCAAAAATTCTTATTCAAGAGCACAGAAGAAAACGGAGTTTCCATGATTATGCTGACACATCGAACTGCCAATCCGTGATCCCCCTGGAACATTTACTCATCTTAAAGTGAATATTCACATTCAACTCACAGTTACTTGTGAGTAGTGGTGTGGTAATGTAATTGCCTTGGGCCATTTATTTTTGAATTTTGATCAATCAGAGGTGATTAAATTCTAGCCTAGTAAGTTTGTGGCAAGGTTACCTGAACGTGGATAGAATTCCGGATTTGGTGCGATGATAGACAGATAGCCAACTGTCTTCGTCCATTGCTATCGGGTAAATTATGGAACGTTTTTTCATAAAGATTTTTGTACCAGGATTTGTTTGGCGTACAGTCTGGCTTCAGACGTGTGTGAATATATATATATATATATATATATTTCGGGCGTATTCAGCTAACCATTTATCGCTGAAGACTATAGTAGAACCAGCTTGATTTAATGATTAATTTACCTAGATAGGAGCTGGTTGGCACAGTGGTAGCACATCTGTGCTAGGGGTCCGGAGGTCAGGTCTTGAACAGGATGGTGGGTATGCGCTACTGATGAACTCTAAGCGCAACTCGGGTTTGTGATTGACTGGATAAACTGGGGATCTTGCATAAAATTAAGGTTAAGTTAGAGTCAATCCAAATTAGTTGATATACACATCTTCAATTACCTTGTTTATTTATGCTTTATCTCATTCTGTCATTCTGGGAAACTTAATTTTGCATATTTTCTGTTTTCCAGTTATTTGGCATGTGATGTTACGGCCCCGTTTAGAAAAACTAATCAGCTTAGATGCACGCACTAGGGAACTTATTGCATCGATAGAGAAAATTGTTGAGGATACTGCAGATGTTCGACATTTTCGTGAACAGTTGGATACATATCAGGATGAAATCAGAGAAAATATCTCATCAATGGGCGCTATAATGGAGGAGCAGAATTCCCGACGCGGTGGTCACTTGTTTGCAAACTCCTCAAACCATTCAGCGACATACAGCAAGGAACATCTATCATTGTTACAGGTGAGCGTTTTCTCGTAGTGAAATCACTACCATCATAACTATCGTCAGCATAATCTATTGTAATGATGACTTATGTCCCCTAACCTCAAAGCGCGATCTATGATAAATCATCTGTGCAGTGTTTTTCGTTCTGGCATTACAGTTAGCGATGTCAGTTGTTAACTCAAATGAAAAAGTCAACCACTCATGTATTTCGTCTTTATTCTTCCCTTCAAACTCAGGCTAGTTATCGCAAAGCAATTTTCAAGGCTTCTCAGCATTTGGAATTGTTGGAGCGTCGGCAACTGATGAGTCGTTCCACCGGTAATCAGCCGTCTGTAGTTACTGGTGCGGAAAATTTGGCAGATGCCTATCAGACCTCGTTGGAGCTCACTAGAGATATGACTACCTACGCTCGACAGCTGGCAGACGAAGTCAAACTAGGTGCAATCAACGCGGAATTACTTGAGGATTCTTCTAATCAAATCGCATCCAATTTTTCGGGCCTCAAAGATATGGGTGGTCATGTGGGTCAGTCCAAACGTTTAACGTCTTTGGCCTACAGAAGACGATTAACAAGTTATCTATTATACACACTCGCCTTCACGTTTTACTTTTTCAGTGTGGCTACTATTTTTCTCAATCGAATTCCTTTCGGATCCTGGTTTCTACCTTCATCTTATTTGTGATAATCTACTTGAGGTGATCATGTCTTGTGTACACCTATGTGCGTGGGTTTGTGATTAAAAGCAAGAGAAAAAACTTCTCTCATTTAATTAAGTTTTTGTTTTGGAATTAATGCCCATGGATTTGTAAAACTTTTATATATTTTCAGAATATCATTATCATAAGCAAGGGGTAAATCCCGAAATCATAAAGGCCTATTCTTTGCATGGTAACAAGCAATGCAATCCCCTGAACTTCAACTGGACAAACATTAAAGCTACAAGTGAACTGGAGTCAAGTGCGTCCGGGAGATAGCGAAGCCACCTGTCGCCAAATTTGATAGGTATATGTATATAGTATCTGGAAAATGAAGATGTATCTATTGTTTATCAATCCTAACGGCTGAGGTCTGGTGCATGAGTTCCATGGTGCTCATACATTTATCCTATCCAATTATATTGGAGAAGTCTGTCGCAGCTGTTTTCTTTGTTACTGGTGATTTCAACAAATCAGATGTGAGCTTTTACACACTTATATCTCTTCAGAACATTGTCAATTTTTCCATTCCGAAGGGTACCTCCTTGAACCGTCTTTTTTTTCGCGCCTTTAAACGTGCACCAGTGGGCAATTCTGATCACTATCTAATTGAATGTTTATCTGCGATATATGGCAAATGCAAAAGATAAATGCACGTAAGATATGTATATGACAACATCATCAGCCCAATTTGATGGAGTTAGAATCCATGGAAGCCGGTATGGACTCTTCGATCCCGATATTTCAGTCTTCTGGGAGGATCTCACCAATTATTCCAACTATTGTTATGATGTGTGCTGTCCTCAAGTAAGGATTCACCTACAGCCAAACCGCTTCATCCCTGATAATGGTTACGCAGGCTGAAAAAGAAGGCGTCTCATTCAAGAAAGAAAGTGATTGTCAAGTCTGTCAGCTTTCATATCAGAAGCGAGATAGCCCATCTCAATCAATTGTATGTTGACACCGTAAGGGGGGGGGAATCCTGCCATCAGCTATGGAACGGACTAAAATTGCTCTGCATCCGTTGAACTGTACCTATTGCAGCCTTATTTGACATCAATGAGCTCAACAAATCTTTTGCTTCAGTGAATAATGTTGTGCCTTCATTACCGAGTCCAAATACAACATCACTGGATTTCCATTCTCCTGCGAATATCAGAACGGAACAAATTCCAAAGGAGTTGAATGATATCAACATAATTAAATACTCTAGTTCTGATGGGTTATCCCCAGTTATCGTAAAAACGTGTGCAAACCACCTGACACGAATCATTTCATTCATTTTTAATACATGTCTGTCAGATGGTAGACTAGTTAACACATGGCATGATGTTCGCAGCACTCCAGTTCCTAAGAAAGAAAAGGGTAAGTTTCGGCCTATCGCTTCATCTTCAGTATTACTTAAGACTTTTGAGCAAATAACTAATAAGTATCTATCCTCTAATCTTCATTTTTGTGATTACAATCAGTTTGCTTATTGTATTCGTCGCTCTACTTTAGATGCGATTACTTGTCCTATACATTCTGTTTTATCCACTATAGACCGAAAACACAAAATTCTTCATGTTTGTTTCTTGGACTACACAACCGCTTTTAAATCTGTCGACAGAAACATCCTAGTGACACTGTTACAGCAACAATCTCCCGCCACATCTTTTGCATTGGATACATGACTATTGCACCGACCGACGCCAATTCACTTGTCTCAATGGTATTAGGTTTTCCTCTGTTACTGTAAACCAAGGTGTAATACAGGGAGCATTGTCATCCCCGTTTCTGTTCTTCTGCTGCATTCAAAACTTGCCAGTCACCCCAACTGTTTTTACATTTACATACACATATGATATAGTACTTGGTGGTACATCTAACTACAACCCTTCAATCAGCCGTAAGTTCTATTTCTGAATGGTCCGATGGTGTTAACTTTTCTTTATACCCCAATAAACGCATTGAAGTTTTGTTTTCCATTAACCATAGGCTATCAACACTTTCAGGATCATTTGTTCCCCAACATCTTAATCGATAACTTAAAAAGTTGAAAGGTCCCCATACTTCAAGTACCTTGGATGTTTTCTGTCTGCTGACTTCAAATGGTCCTACCACGTAGAACAGACTTTTCATTAAGTTAGAAAGCCAATCTTTTACATTTCACACCTCCGATATCTGAGGGTACCAGTGTACGTCATTTCCTAATTTACTTACTCGTGCGTTGTATGCCATTAGACCCATTACTCCCCCGTTATCTTCCCGGCCCATTGTCCAAGGATTTCATCAGATGCTCTCTGAAAAGCATCTCTAGATATAGAGCGGTACCTTGTGAGACGCTGGTTGACTCAAGTGTCAACCAACACCTTGAGGAAGGTGACCGTCTGTGTGACTCAATCTTGTTTGATGCATCACAACCCTCTCTAGCTCCATTTCAACTTCTGTCACCCGCAATGTATTTAAACCATTATACACTCGCACCACAGCCTTTCACAATTCCGTTGTACCTTACATTTCGCGTTTTGTTTGTTTCCAGGGAACGAATATCAAACAAACTATTAAACAGTCTCATGTAAATTTTCATGCTTCAGTTTTCCACATTTGCTACGCGTTTTTGGTTCCTCTTCATTATTGTCTATATACCAATTGTCATATCTTCAAACCCGTTTTTATAGCATGTATGCCAAAGCAAAAATGATAGCCTTTTTATCACTGAAAATCCTGTCCACAATGGATGAATGAAGTGCATTCTCAACTTGACATACTCGTGAGTGGTTGTATTCAGATAATTCTCATACACCAATCATTGCAAGATCACACAAAACGTTTGTGATGGTACTTTTTTAAAAGCTCTCTATTTCCTAGAGTCAAAGCGATATGATAAGTCCACAGACCCAATAAAAACACAAAACAAACCTCTGAGACGGATGGGGAATATCAAGAAAACGGGGTGAGGAAAAAAAGACGGGTGACTGGGGTAGGGAAAGTGATGTTAGGAGGTAACGGGATGTGGGTAATCGAATCGATGAATAAGTTCCGTTATTTTTATAGCAGGAATAGGGGTGGGAAATGGATGTAATTGGAGTTTATCAAATGATATTGAAAGAGTGCACAGCTCATTTTGGATAGGACATTTTAAAATAGAGCGTAAACCAAAACCGAAGTAATAAAGAACTCGTTCCTGGCGGACCATGTGTATGTGTGTGTGCGTGTGTGTTTGTGGGTGTGTATAGGAGGCAGTTAGAATAAGGTTAATTCACACATCTGACGTGACGACATATAGTACAAATATACTGTATAGACAACGGAATAAANCCATAAACACGAAGGAATCGGTTGAAATGAGAAGTTGGTACGATTGACTGAGACGGCAATAAAGTTTGTCGTTGTTAGGTTGATTTGAGAAGATACAGAGAGAAGTGAATGAACTGCAGTCTTACACAGAATACACTGTATCCGAACACGAAAGATACGCGCCTAAGTAAACTGGAAATTCGCGTACAAAAATAGAGAGGAAAGGAAACAAACAATAGCATTGGTCATAATAATAATAATAATAATAATAATAATAATAATAATAATCGTTATCAAATGGTTAGAATCCGATTTTTCACATCCGCGTCCAGAAGAACTTCGATAAGATTAGTGGTAAAGAGACCCAATAATACGCACGGCACCAAACATGTGCTGAGCGAACAATTCACGTCAGAACAACAACAACATGCAAAATGTGCAAAGCGGGCAAGCCCGTTCCAGTTCACGGTTCAAATGCGACTTTGACCCAAGACGGAACTGACATGAAGGGCGTGTTTGTGCGAGACCAGCGGCTCATTGATTTTCCGAGGTTCGTTTGCCCGGGACGTGCTTACTTGAATTCATTTCTTCTTCCACAGAGTGTGATCGCCAAGAGACAAATTCCACCCAGTATCATTAGGGAAAACAAGATGGCCAAGGGAATGAATGCAGCCTTCGGTAAATTGACCTTGGGACTCTCACTGGGCAGGAAACCAGATTGATCCAACATGTAGCCCAGTGCCCAACTGACCGAAACGCCTGCAATCTGAAATGAGAAAAACGTCAGTTTAAATAGCGATAACTGTCCACAATTTGGTGGTCAATTTTGCTAATCCAAATGGTACTCAGCGACCAATTCACGCAAGTCGTTCGAAGTTATCTGTTGATGAGCGAAGAAGTGGTAGCGGTGTGTCGAACTACCCTCCACGGGATCAAAAATTTTTAATGGATATTAACAACAAGTTTATGCTTTTCTTGTCCCAGGGGATATATTCACAGTTTAATCATCTTGTGGTCGAAGATGAGAAACAATTCAACTATGAAATTATCCTATTGGACAAATCTGGTTTAGGGGCGGTTGGTTGGTTGGAGCCTGGCACTAACGGTACCTCTATAATTTTCCCTTCGTTACTCTTCCTTTGATGGTAGAAGTAAGAGTGAAATGATTGACCACAACTTCTGTTCTGAAAGTTGATTAGGTTGTGATTCGCAGCTAGCTTATTTCAGTAGCAACCGCTGCTGAAACCGGTGAGTGAAACTGATCCGACTAGTGAAGCATGTGATACGGGCTCGCCCTGTGAGATTGTTAGACGAACGACAAAATTTATCACTAGAAGGTTCGAAGCATATATTTCCATAAATGAAGTTTCCCAGGAGAGTGTTACCGCTTCAGTTTACTCGCCGTGACAGACAGGTGTTCTTATTCTAAAGAGATATGAGATCATCTTCTATTTGGTGACTATAATAGGTAAATGCGTGTAACAGCTTCAGCGTTTGCATATCGACAACCGTATGATGAGGTTAGGCTTTGTCAATACCTAAATCCAGTCCATTCTGACGATCTTGTCACGCAGTGTTAAAGCTGTCTCGATAGCCACCCAGGTTACACGTCATCATCGTACAGCGAAATACAGTGGGGCGAACTTCACTGATCGCTGCCAAACTCGCAATGTATACAAGATTAGAGGTAAAATTAAAGGTGGACAGG